TATTTTGGTTAAATGGCAATATCTCGCGAACTTTCAATTGGAATCGCATGATTTTGGTACCATTCGATTCGTCTCATCGAGACGAATCGATTGGTACCAAAATCATGTGATCCTGATCGACGGTTCACGAGATATCGTTGGTGCGCCAAATTAGGTACTGCGCCAAATTAGGCATATCTACCTTATATAAAATAGGATATATGTAATATTTATTATTAATAAACTGAACTTTATTAAAGAATCAATATGTGAATAAATTATTAATAAAGTTATCTTTTATTCTTTATTTATTATATTTTAAAAAGGAATTAAAATAACTTTGCCTAATTTTTAGTCAATATGACTTTTATTAGAGATGTGAAATAACTTTTAGTCTATATAATTAATAAAACAATAACACTTATATATAATATCAACCTATTACTTAACTCAAAGTTATATTTACTAATCTAATAGTTTAACTCTATAATATTCGAATACATAAAATATATATACTAGTACAAGCCTATTGTTATTAGAATAGAATGTCAAACAGTATACACAAAGTTCTTTAAGTTTAAGACTTACAAAGCTTATATATAACATCCTAATTTTCTTTTTTAGTTGTCCATTTTCAGTATTTAAAACTTATATAGTTAATATTACAGATTATTGTGAAATCAGATTATTGTGAAATTTGGGAGTCTCAATTTGAAAATATATACTCTACCAAAATCTACCTATACTTTTTTATTGCAAACAAAAAATCTGTGCCAGGTTTTGTCGATCATGTTGCACAGATCTCATGATCCACAAATCAGTTTTTAAGGATCAGGTGTAACGTAACACGATCAGAAAATTTCGTTCGTTTTGTTAAAAATCACTTATTTCTCAAAATCTGCATAAAAAACTACACTTTGTATTTTAACAAAAAGTTTTTCTTGAGCAATTTTACTGTATAACCACCTAACCTCTAACCTTGTTCTAAACGTTAACCTTAACATTAATGAACTTTAAAAAATTTTGCTGTGCCACATGATCGACAAAACCTAGCACAGATTTTTGTTTGCTTTTTTATTAATAATTCTAACCCTAAATCCTAACTTAACTATAAAAAAAAAGCCTACAAAAAAGACCTTAAAATTTTTAAAAATCATATATAAAATAGATTCAAATTTTATAATAATCCGATTTTATGATAATCTGTAACAGTTAATATAACTTGTACTACTACAATAAATAGTAAAATATTTGTCTATAAATGGAGTTACTAATTATTTTTGATTAATTTTAATATAAGATAGAATATTCTATAATCTTTCGATATTTTTTTTTATTTGATTTGATTGGTAAAATTCAGAGTAATCACAAGGATATTTTGTAGTTTAAAAGTATATAAAAAAATTTTTTAAGTAAAGCTAAGCCACCAAACATTATTTCTAAATTTGGATTGTCTATTATGCTCTCTAAAGTTAATTAAGAAAATTATCAAAAAATATGAATTGGCTTGCTTTAGATATCCTCTAATATAGTAAAATTACTTTAAAAATTAATTTCTCAACAACTATCTTATTAAATTAAATCAATTTTTTGTCAATACTATAAAAATACTTTAAGTTTAATTTTGTTAATTTTTAAAGTATTTAGATTTAATTTTAATTTTTTATAAAATTTTAATTAAATTTAATTAGTTTTTAGTATTTAAAATGGCTAAAATTTTAGTTTTTATCTAATATTTGTTATAGTAATTAAAAAATATAAAAATTTAATACTGATCTATATTTATTTAAGGGTGCTGGTATTCATACCCCCACTTTTGGTATTCGTACCCCCAAATTTTAAAAAAGTGCTTTAAAAAAGATAATCTTAATAAGTAAACTTTCTTTTTGGGTCTAATTAAAGTTGTTAGTTAGGCTTTTCCGGTTCTAATAGTAGTAAAATTGTTAAAATTTAATAAGTAGTTCTCTTTTTATTTACGTTCAAAGTTAGCAATTTTCAATTTATCTTTTAAAGAGAACTATTTGCCTAAATTTAATGATTTTACTACTGTTAGAACCGGAAAAGCCTAAAGAACAACTTTAATTAGACCAAAAAGAAGGTTTACTTATTAAGATTATCTCTTTTAAAGCACTTTTCTAAAATTTGGAGGGTACGAATACCAAAAGTGGGGGGTACGTATACCAGCTCCCTTATTTAATACTATTACTGTAAAAATTTTAAGTTGTAGCTTTTCTATTTAAAAAGTTAGAGAGGGTGGGATACTTATGATTCTTACTGTATTATTTGTATTATTGATTAAATGTCGAACTGTCAATTATAAAGTTTATTCAGTATGTAGATATTACTATATTTGCACTGAAGAATCCAGCATGTAGGGTAGATTTTCTGATCACATGATGATCAACAAAATCCCATTGTATCACTTAAAGCTTCATTTAAGTTGGGTTAGTATTAAGGTTGAATTTTCGCTCGAAATCGATGTTGTTTACATGTTACCCTGATTGTGTTACGTTACACTAAATTGTGATTCTCTATTGGTTAATAATCACGTGCTCGGAAAATCTATCCTACACCCTGACGCTGTTCACTGCACCGAAATACCCCACCTAATAAAATTACGTCCAAAAAATCGGGTTCAAAAAAGTTGCAATAAACAAATTTTTTTATTAATTATGCTTATATTTTTTTTTCATTAGCGAATAGCCAAGCATAAAATTAGTTGGTTTAAATGAATTTTAGATAAAAATATTAATTATTGGCAATAGAGCTTAGGTGCGCCAGAATACCCTCCCCTCCCTTATATACTGTCCTAATTATTTGGTTGCTTGACTCTGAAAAGAAGTTTCTTATTTCTAAAAAAAAATTAGACAATTTTAGAAATTTAAATTTTATCGGACAACCCACTTACTCGATTGCCCAACCTGTTGATGTTAGCAAATCAAAATTTTTTCTAATCAACCAATCAAAACAAACTTCAACTATGCGAAGTTCTCTCGATAACTACCTGACCAAATTTGATGAAATTTTTTTTTTTATTTTAATTCTTCACAATCGTAAAATTTAAAAAAAAAAAAAAAAAAAAACATTGAATTTAGTCAGGTAATTGTCGAGAAAACTTCTCTCAAGTTTAGAATTTGTCCTATCAGTAAATTAAGTGCTTCTGAATGATCTTAAAACTTTGAGCAAAGTTTTCTCGATAACTACCTTACTAAATTTTTTAATTTTAATTCTAACTATTCGTGTGGAATTAAAAAGGTAGCTGTCAAGAAAACTTCGCTCAGAATTTAGTCCCGTTTTCAATAAATCAAGTGCTTCTAAATTTTTTAAACCTTTGAGCAAAGTTTTCTTGACAGCCACTTGACCAAATTCGACGAAATTAAAAAATTTCTATCGAATTTGGTCAAGAAACTTCGCTCAATAATTTTATGCTGATCCTTGATTAATTTTGATTGGTCGAACATGTTTAGATCGTCAATGAACATTAAGTAAGCAGTTCAAATTTTAGATTTATGCCGTGTAACTTTATACGAAAGATATACATTAGAATATAAAACAACATCTAACGCTAATAAAAATGATGCTAATTTTGAATAAAATTTGCCAGAATCAATGTGGCCAAAATTTTAATTTTATTAATAAAATCAGTTGACTTTAAGGATTCAATACTACGTATAAAATTAGTATAAAATTTTAATTATTAAGAAAATAAACTTTATAATTTTTACTATATTTTATAAAAAGATTTGGTTTGTAATTATTTTAATTTTCTATTTATATTTTTTAAAAATCATATTTTATTCGTTGACTTAAGGATTTCTGCTAACACAATTGACGATTATAAAGAGATTCGGATTAGGAAAAATGTGCATATTGTAGCGAATATAATACGAGTGATGAATAGTGTTAGGCATGACTATTTAATGATCGACCACTTATCGACCGACCATACTCAAAAAAATTTATGATCAGTCACGATCAAACAAATCAAATGATCGATCAATCCTAATCTCTAATGAGCGGCTCTAGCCCGACGCCTATATTTTTTTTTAAAAAAGTGAGAGGAATTTTTAAGAAATTTCTTTATGACTTGCTTATTTATAAAAAAGTGGTACTGACCTATCACGTTCTTCAGAGATAGTTAGTTTGACACCTTTACCCTTTGGTAATGAAATTGAAGGTTTGTTACCTTCACCAATAATAAAGACATTAGATAATCGTGTAGCAAATTGCCTATCCACGGAATCCTTAACATGGATAATGTCTGAACAAATAATAGTGACAAATCATTAATGATGTATAAATTGAATAATGTCGTGATTATTAAAAAAAAAAATTACATACCGAAACCTCCAACGTGTCGTTCACGATGAGTTACGACTCCAACACGTCCCTATATGTATATTTAAAGTAAATGAAAACGATTTAAAGTACAATAAATCTATACATATATCAAGTATTTTACCATGTTACGACCACCAGTTATCATAGCAATGTTTCCAACTAGGTTTTTTTTTTAAAAAAAAAACAAAAAAATTTTTTTTTTTTAATTTTCTTTTTTAATCGATTAAATGGTATATGTCACTTTATAAATAAATATGTAACATACCTTCAAATTTAATATGTTCAATTATTTTACCAGTTTCCAGATCAAGTCTAACAGTATCATTAACTTTGATAAGGGGATCGGGATAACGGATTGTACGACCATCATGAGTTACAAGAAATGGGATTCCTTTAGCACCAACTTGAACCTTTCTAACTTTGGCCAATTTATAAGTAGCCTCATCATTAGATATTTTATGGATAGTAAATCGACCTTTGGTGTCATAAATAAGACGAAAGTTTTCATTGGTTTTTTCTATGGCTATAACATCTTTTATATTTGTAAATTAAAAAAAAAAATTTTTTTTAAAAAAAAAATTCCAAGTTTTTTTTTAAAACATAAGAAATTATATACCCATAAATCCGGCAGGGTAAGTGGAATCAGTACGAACTTTGCCATCAACCTTTACAAGACGTTGCATCAAAATACTTTGTACTTCTTTTTTAGTAAGAGCATATTTAAGACGATTTCTCAAGAAAATAATAAGAGGCAAGCATTCACGAAGCCTATGGGGTCCGGCTGATGGTCTTGGTGCCTTATTATTTATTAATTCATTTATTAAAAATTCAATATTATATTCACAAAAGTTTTCGATAAATTATAATCACATACATAAGCACCAGTAAGTTTATCCAACATCCAATGGCTTGGGGCATTAAGCCGTTTTAAATGTTTCCTCGGTCCACGAGCCTGTGCAACAAAAAAATGGAAATTATGTTAATTGACTTTAAAAACAATTCATTTTTTTTTTCAGTGTAAAAAAAAAAAAAAAAAAATGGATCGCATTTATTAAATTAACAGAAAAAGATACATTGTCCCAAATAAAGTGATTATGAATGA